ATGGTGTCTATCGTAGTAGAACAGGCTCTTTCATCAACTTCAGTCAATAAGTATTGAAGATAATTAGTTTTGTGTCTTGCTCGCGTATGCAATGAAAACCCCAAGTGCTGTGCCCCACCAATATTCTATTATGCATGAAAATAATAAGATTAAATAATTATTTTATCTTATTATTTATATGACTATTATCCATTGCAGTTGTGGTAAAACTTATGATGACAAATATTTATTTAAACATCTAAATTCAAAATATCATCAGAAATTTGTAGAATATAGATGGAATAAAGACGATACAATGAAAAAACTGTACAACTCTAGGAAAAAGAACTTTTTTCCTAGAGTTCTAGAACTTGAAAGAACTTGATAAGTTCTTTCAAGTTGTACAAGAAAAGAAAGACAGAAATGAAAAATAATTTATCTTATTATTTAATATGAAAAGGAGTTATACAGATTATATTAATATAATAAATGAAATGGAGAATATAGAACGGGTTGTCATAACTGATAATAGATGTAAAAAAATATGTTATTTTATTTTAGAATTAATTAAGTTTTTGATACAATATATTAAAAATATAAATATTAATATAAATGCCAAAAAAGAAAAACACAAATAATAAGACAGGTTTAAGTGTTTCATCAACTGATGAAGAAATTGTTAAAGAAACATCAGTTATTCAGGTTGTTTGTCCTACATGCAAAAGAATGTTAGAACTTAAGAATGAATTACAAATAAAAAATAATAAAAGTTGTAAATGTTCATGTATTCCAACAAGTTTCAAAATAAGTAAAAATGATAAGAAAATGAATATTGATAAAACTAAAGATAGTATAAATCTGGAAACGGATGTTCATAATATAACTTTTAAATTTGGGAATGAAGCTACAACGTCAGATAATGTTGATAACGAAACACAGGAAACTATTAAACAAATGATGAAAAATTAGTATTTAAAGACTAGAATTAACATAATTTAAACATTTAGTTTTAAAAGTATAGTTGAATAATATAGTATATGGTTGAATTTTCAAGTTTAACACATTTACATTTTGGAGCACTTGAATTAGACAAGCAAATTGGAGACAATAATTATAATGGTGTTAGATATTATACTTGTAAGTGTGGATGTAAAATAGTCTTAACTCGTACTCAAACTAAAAAATATAACTGTTTATTACTTAGTGTTGGTCTTAGCTATGAATATTTATATCTGGACAAAGCGTTAGTATGTGGACATACTCAAAAAGATTTAGATAACATTGTTAGAGTTATGGTAAAAGGCGAAGAATTTAAACATTTAAGAAACAGAGACATTCGAAATTAAAATATTTAGTTTTAAAACTTTAGTTTTATAATATAGTATATATGGAAGGTGTGGATAAACTATTTTTGAAAATTGATGAAATAATGGAACAAAATAAACGCATTTATCAACTGTTAGAAAGTATGAAGAAACCAGCTTACAATAATACTAATAATTACCAACCAAAAGAAGTTGATAGAGAGAGCACTGAATACAAGAATAAACGAAATGTATATATTAAAAAACTTAATGAAAAAGTTATTAAAGAACCTAAACAATCAAGTCTGGATTTCTACCAAGTCAAGTATATTGAAGATACCAAGAAATATGTTTAATCATTAACTAACAAAATTTCGTGTCTCAGAAGTGGTTTGTTTATTCCTGCTACTCTGTAAGTTTTATTGCCCATAATATCATATTCAATTTTATCAACATTGAATATCTTATTAGACCATTTAGAGTTATACTCTTTTCTGTCGGTGTAATTGCCCCTTTTCTTTTGAAACACTTTTATCTTATCGTTCTCCTGTATTCTGGGATACTTTCTTTTGTTCTTTTCTCGTAGTTTCAGATTGACCTTTACATTTATTTCATTGTCGTCCTTGTGTGCTTCGGTTGGTGTCATCCTTGTTGACGAGTGTAATGTGCTGTTATACTGTTTCAATGCTGGTGTTAAGGCATCGGTCCATTTCATATTATTAAACCTAACTCTATCGTGAATTTTGTTTTTCATCGTCCTAATAAAACGTTCGGCTACATTTGCGTGTGTCTTCGTTATTATGTGTTTGATACCTTCGCTGTTGAAGAAATCCTGAACTTGGTTTTTGGTTGCAAATGCTCCATCATCATCAGAATACACAGACATCGGATAACCCATCTTTTTAAAACTTGCTCTTAGTGCTTTTAGAACGTGCTCTCCGTCTCTTTCCTCCATCGGAATTGCATCTGCTAATTTACTGAAGATGTCAATCACGACTAAAGCATACTGTGGAACGTTCTTGTCTTTAGCTAAAGGTGACATATGCATTATGTCTATTTGATATTCATATCGTGCGAAGGGAGCGGTATAGGAATTAGTGCCTCTATAATTTTTGATTTGTTTATTTGGTTGTTTCTTTAAGAAAGACTTTACATCTTCTAATGTTATCGTTGGGTCTTCTTCCTTTGCCTTCTTGTGTGTTGCCTGTGTGCTTCCGAAACCCTCGTCTAAGTCATAATAGATGTTGCTGATTATTTGGTCTTTCGTTAATCTCGCCATTATATTATTTGTTAGAAAATATTTTTTATCGATATAACCCCCACCCCTTAACATTAAAAAAACTACTTAAAGAAAAATGGATATAATATAGTAAGAGAAAAAATGACACTGTTTAATTATGATAATTGTCCTTGTAAAAATAAAAAATGTAAGTCTGTCGTAGCACTAGCTAATATTTTACCTGTTAATGTTTGTAAACTTATAGGTGGCTGTATTAGAGTAACATGTTTTGATTGCTGGTATTTGATGCATGAAGAAGAACATTTTATGAGAGATAAAGACATTCCTGAAGAAGGACTGGAAAAAGCAGAACTTCAATTACAAGTTATTAAACTAATGCAAAATAATGTGTTTACTCTACTAGCAGAAAACCAATATAGTATGAAAATAAGACATTACAGAAAACACATTGACCGAGTATTTGATATACAAGAAGTTAAAGAACGGTTTAAAAATAGAAAAATGTATTATCAAGCATTAAAATCATACTGTAAGAATAATGAATATGAAGTTTGTATCATTTTAAAAAAATGTATTGACATTGAAGATTTAAAAAATTTTAAACGTTGTGGATTTAGCTTTCCAAACCTAAACAGTTGTTGGTCATATAGAAATAACAATTATTATATGAGATATATTCTTAGCGAATTAATTGACATTTACATAGACCAATTAATAAAAGGATATGAGCATTATTGTTGTGAGTATGGTGTGAGTTGTTATAGTGGTTGTATCACTGGTGAGATTGAATACGGGACAAACTAACTATTGTTTAATCATATTATTCTATAACCATACTATAATCATAACATTTATAAACTTACATGTTATCATTATAGCGAACTTTTAACCTATGAATACCCCTGAATTAATTTTAACCTAGAAACACTTTTAAAGACTTAGGAACACTATATATTATTGATATGGAAAAGCCTGAAGCGAAGCAATGCTCAAGATGTCTAAAAACAAAAGAACAACTACATTTTGATAAAGATAGAAAACAATGTAATGATTGTATCAAACAAAGACACACATATTATTACAACAATAAAGACAAACACGCTGAATGGGATAAAAAACACTATGAAAAGAATAAAGAACACAAGCAAGAATACAGAAAAGAATACAACCAACAAAAAATTGAATGTCAATATTGTAGGTGTATGGTCTCACTTAGTCAGAAAGCAAAGCACGAAAGAACAAACAAACACATCAACAATGTTAAGAATCCAAAACCACCAAAGACTGAAGAAACAACAAAAGAATACAAACAGCAAACAACACAGGAAGAGATAAGAGAATACATTGAAACCTCATCAGATTTTGAGTATGAGATGCATTGAGTTTAATCATATTATTCTATAACTATAATATGATTACAACATTTATAAACTTATATGTTATAATTATAGCAAACTTTTAACCTATAAACATTTCATTAAATGACAAAACAGAAGACCCGCCAACACCCCAAACCATGAAACTACTAAAAGTGCTAACCTCTTTCAAAACGAAATAAAACATCACCCCGAGAAACACAAAATGAGACATGGCATGAAACATGGGTAGTGAAAACGAATAAGATTGTCAACATGTTGAAAAACAATACTCAAAGAAAAACCCCAACATTTGACATTTTCCCCCGAGCTCCAGCCCTTTCCACATTTTTTCCCCTCCCCCCCTCCCCTTCCCCCTGACTAAACCGGTCTTCCAAATTGGGGTGACTGTTTATTTTTTTGGGGCCCGGCGTTTTCGGAGAGCTCCCTGGAAAGTAACCGGAAAGCCCATGAGCCATGGGTTGCACTTGGAAGTTGCGGTCGGTTCAGTAAAGCAAGATATCCTGCCTATGGTGCATTTGGGAAAATCCACGAGGGACATTGGGGGCCCTTTTAATTTGGAGCCAGAGAAAATATTGACCCGTAGCATGTTTTTGCGCGGACAGCTTCTTTTTTTTGACCGGGTGTTGTCCGTTGCTTAGACAAACTCCGAGCCGAGGGCCATTAGCAAGTTGCAGTCCTTTTCTGCCAAATTGTTTGAAACTGGGTGTGGGTCAAAAGTCAGATACCTGTTTTCCTTTGTTTGGTCCATTTTAAAGGGGACTGCTGGGGGGTACCAGGGTTTGGACTCTACCACTGAGACCCATCGATTTGTTCTTCCAACTCTGGGAGCGTTGTTTGTGTGAGAAAATGCTTCGGACGCACGTAAACGCCCCTGCTGTGCCGGAAGTGAAACTTCCGCAAAACGGCGGCTGCTCCTCCCGGGGGTCCCGTGGTTTGACACCCATGTGTTGATCACCCAAAGGAAAACTTGGACTTAGGAGGTTGATTTCCCAAAGGCACCCCCGGGACCCCCGTTTGGAGTCCCTTGCAAAACCAAAGCCCCCTCGTTTGGGGGGGGGGCTACCTACAACGCCACGCCCCCCGAAGCGAGCCTTGCAGGGCAAGGCCCAGCTGCTGGGCCCGGAGCATTTCGAATCCCTGGAGGCGAGAGACTCCATCGCGATGCCGCCCCCAAAAAGCGTCGTGTCGTTTCCAGGGGTGGCGCTTGGCAAGTTATGCGGACGGAAGCTTCGGGTACTTGTTTCTGAAAGGCGAACGTGGCAGGGCCCATTTTTTGCAAGGCCACTTTGGCTTGCAGTTTGCCAGGTTCCCTCAATGGCACTACGTAGTGGTTGTCCAGCGAGGAGGGCACTTGTTTAGGTACATGAGCAGCTTGCACCGTCATGTTGTTTGCAAACCCAGGATCCTGAAAATCACCTTGGTCGAAACAGCTGGAATTACTATTTTGGCAGGTCTCCTGTCTGCGGTTTTGCCAACTTGAAGTGGCTCTCGGTTTGCTTTGATAATGCAGTGGCATTGCGCCATGCGCCGCGATGCACTTGCCTCCTTGAGCTTGTCGGATCTTGGAGATTGGCATCAGTTTCATGTTCGGCACGGGATGGGAGAGCCTCAGTTGGGCAGTCCTATCCAGGTGATTCCTGTCTAAGAGGGCTGTATTGCTTGTTGAATCCCCCCACGTCATGCACTGATTCACAGCCATAGCAAGAACCATTGCAACTAGCGACTAGTAGTGAACCCCGCTTTCTGCCCCGCTTTGTTTCGTTTGCTCTCTGCAAAGGCCCAGTGCGCACCGGACGTGAAAGCGAAGCCTTGGCTCCGGAAGTCCCGGATGAAAAGCTGTTTGTTTTGCATCATTCCCTTTGGTAGGCGAGCATGGGGAGGTGACGAAGACTGATTTCCTGCCTTCAAGTTTGAGATCGCACGTCTGTCAAGCATGTGGGTTGGCTTGGTCCAGTTTGGTTTCACAGCTCAAGGGGCTTTGAAATCCGCTGTATTTCTTGAGGGTTCCCCTTTCAAGGGACATCCGAAGCTCATTTCAGAATTTGAGTGCACATATTTTGAGACGAAGATCGGGGCTTCCATTTTGGATGGCGTCAAGCAGGAAAGACCCATGAGGGCTCTTAGCAGCAAACACCCCCCCATTCAGGGCTATTTTTGACTTCCCCAAAGGCGAGTGTTTCGGGGTGTGGTGTGTTCGGGTCTCAGAATTTCCCTACAAGCCAAGGAGACTTCTTGAACCGAACCTGAGTGGGGTCACTGGTGTGAAAGGGAATCTGCGGTATCACTTGGGTAGTCTCAGATTTACCCTACAAGCCAAGGGGGTCACTCTACCACTGGACACGTTTTCTCTCTCGGGGCTTCAGAAATCTCGGGGCGCCAGGCGCGGCGCGACTTGGGGGCGTTGCTCGCAGGGCTGGGCCGGCACCAGGAGGCCAGAGCTGATTAGGGGCTGATTTGGCAGGGCTCCTTAAAAGATACAATTTGCCCATTTGCAACATGGCTTTTTCCGCCAAAAAGGGAAACCACCATTTACAAGGCAATGCTCAAGTGTATGTAAGGATCCCTGTTTGGTTTTCCATGGGTTATAGAATGTTATAGAGTCATAACCTATGCCGATCCCATTTTGGGGCGGATGAACACCCATGTACCACCTATTTTGATGTTCACCGGAATTACAGGGTTTTGACCCACAGCCACTTGATTTTCCATGGGCCCCCCGGCTTTGACAGTGGGTAGCTTTACCCATGTGGTTGACATATGGCTGTGGCTCAAGAAACCGGTACCGAAATGGAACCCTGGTAAGTGGACACATGGACCAAAACCTGCGTAACCCCTCCTGTTTAATTTTGAGCCACAGCCATATGGGTATGGGTCAAAGTTGAATCACCAGGGCAGCGCAGGTTTTGGTCCACGTTTCCATGTGCCAGGATTCCATGTTGGGTACCCATTGTTGACCACAGCCATATCATCTTTTTAAGGGGTTGTCCCAACCCATGGCCATCCTATGTAAAGGACCTTTTGATCAAGCCCCGCCTGCGGGGGACTTATGTTTAGCGGCTGAGTTTAAAACAAAGGCATACACACCCGGTACTTGGTCTCAGAGATAGCAGCCAAATGGCTACTTCTGGTCACAGCCCACTTACAGCCATGGGTTTGATGGCAAAGTTAACCTCTCGGCCAACTCCCGGACCATCTAAGCAGTTTGAAAGCATGGTTAAGGTCTATCAAGCGAATCCCCTTTAACATGATATTGTCCCCAAATGTTTGAAGGGATACCCGAAGGAGATCATTTGTTGTTGTTTTTGTTTTTTTTTTTTTGGTTTTTTTTTTTTGCGGAGGGGGGGGGGGGGTCGAAAGTTTTAAGACACCCGAAACTACTCGGAGGTCTTTGGAAAGGATTGCAACTGGCTGGGGTTTGGGGACGAGCAAAAGAGCACCTGATGGCCGTGAGCATTTTCTCACAAGGAGTAAATGCGCGTTCATGGCAGGTTTCCAAGTCATGAGTCATGTTGTGTTTGTTCACCCTACTCTTGAGTTGCTTGGACTGGTGTGGGGGCTTGAGCCGCTGGTGCTTGCTTGACATGTGAAGGGAACCACCAACAAAAAGACACCAGGTGTTGGCCGACCGACACCAAGGCGAATTGCCCCAGAGCAGCTCCAAGCCAGCAGACCACCAGACCACACCACCCAAACCAACCAGCAGACCCTTTTTGGGTTCGGGTTTCAGTCGCCTCCGAAGGCTGAGGTCCTCTGGCGGCAAGCCCTCGCGGGTCTACAGCGCTCCCTGGGTCGGGGCCCTGACCTCTGGAATCCGGACTCGGACCCCACGGGTTCTAACACATGGGTTCATTGAATGCTTTAAAACGAGGTGTAGCCTTCAAGCATCCTCTGCAAAAAACAGTTGGATACCTTGTCCTTTGGCACAAGCAATCGGGAGTCCAAAAGCCGTTGTCAGCCTTGTGAACGGAGAAGGGAAGGGGCAGAAACCCAACAAAGCGGCCCCGTCCCTTTTTGCCTTTGCAGGTACCAAGGAAGTAACGTATGGAAGGGGCGTGCCTGTTTCCCATTTAGGGGTGGGGCGGCTCGCCATTCTGGGAGTCACCACACAGCCACGAGCACGGGAGTAGGACCCCACAGAAGATGTGGCAAGAAATGTAGACTGGAACCAAGAACAAGGCCAAATCCGTGTCACCTTCGGATGAAGCCCAATCGGACTCAGAGGATGCTTGAGAAATGGTCGACTCGTTCACAACAACTCCCCGGCTCTGGGATTAGTTTGGGAAACGAACAGCCTCCATTCAAGGCAGTCGCCTTCAGGCCCGCCGAGCGGTCACGCGTTCAGTCCCCTTCACTCCCTTCAGTCTGCTCAGGCTCCTGTCCAGATCAGTCCCTGTGAAAGTTCCCAGACTCCCTTCGGCTTGATTGAAGAGAGGGTAAACCTGGCAACGTAACAGCTGCGTGGGCCAACAAAAAGCGTCCCGCAAGGCCAGGAGACCTGTCTGGTGAAGTTATAGCGAGCTCACCTGTGGGCAAAATGCACCCATGATGAAGGTCCTTACCCATGCTTGTGTTTGGCAGACTAGGGTGGCATGAGCTCGTTTGCACAGATGTCTGGTCTTGGTCAAAATGCCACCTCGGGGGCCAATTTTGGCTCAAGAGCCAACACGCTACGTGTTTCTTTTTCCACCCACCCAACCCTGCACCTTCGGGGTGCAACAGGTCATGGTGCAGTGCACTGGCTTTGCGGCCAACATCCTCTTTCCTGAGGTAGATCGCCTATTCCACCCTTGCGAGTCCGTTTGCTCTGACCGGGGGGGGGGGGTGTTGGGGGGATGTTGGCACGCCGGGGTTTTGAGTCAACTCTTTTTCTACTTGGCTGTCTGGAATATTTACGGGTTCCCTTATTTGTGGCCTATGGCATTGCACATTTGCCCAGACATGTGCGCAATTTTTGCAGAGCCATGTTTGGACGGATTTTCTTTGGCCCACGGCGAGTGTCCCACAGCCCGATGTTTCCTTCGCTTGGACCCAGGCTTTGAGCATCCCACCACACTGGCCGTGCTGGCCACGCTGAGGCGCCCTTCGGCCCGTAAGGGCGGGTTCGCTGTTTTCGTGGAAGCTCGGCGCGCTCACGGTGCGAGCGAAAGGGGCGCGCCCTGATAGCCCCAAGGATGTCGACCCAACTCAAAGACGCAAGGATTGCGGTACAACAACAGGGCGAGTTCTCCCAGCAGTTGGATGAGGAACAAAGTGCATTTTTCCAGTCTTTCCCATCAAATGTGATTTCGCGATTTAAAAGCAACACCTCACCCCTTAACTTCTTGACTTGGGGACGCCTTATCTCAGTGTTTTTTTTGGCAAAGGTTGCAAGTTGGCCTTGTTTTAGTTTTTTCTACCCCCGGCTCGGGGCTCAGCCCCGGCCAAAGAATTGGTTGGTTGGTTGGTCGGTTGGTCGGTCGGTCGGTTGGTCGGCTGGGCGGCCGCATCCCCAGCATCCATGGTTACTTTGTGTCAGGGCTGCGTATTCACCGGCCGCATCCCCAGCATCACCGGCTTCGCTCGGACTAGGGCTGCCCATTGGCTTTGATGCGGTGACAGTTCAGAGTTGCTCAGGGCTGGTTTCGGGCGAGTGTTGAGCTTGCTGAGGTCTTATATAGTGAGGGCGGGTCTTGGGTTTGTTTGGGGTTGATATCCAGGATGCTGTTGGGAGGGTTCGAGGCTGACTTTGAGTCGGTTTGGGGCGTTGCCCCAAACCACCCAAACCAGCCCAAAACTTGCGCAACCACATCTCGAAAGCAGCCCCAAAGCTACTGCAAAAAAGAGCTCACAACCAGTCCCAAAACAGCCAACAAATTGCATAACTAAGCCCTAAAGCTACTGCAAAATCCAGGCCGCACACCTCGCGCAAATCAGCTCCAAGCCAACCCAAACCGACTCAAAGTCAGCCTCAAACCCTCCCAACAGCATCCTGCATATCAGCCCTTTACCAAGCCTAAATGAACCCCAAACAAACCCAAGACCCGCCCTCACTATATAAGACCTCAGCAAGCTCATCACTCGCCCGAACCAGCCCTGAGCAACAAAGCCAATAGGCAGCCCCAGTCCGAACGAGGCCGGTGATGCTGGGGATGCGGCCCAAACCTGGCCCCCAGAGAATACCGCCAGCCAACTTTGGAGCCACATGAGGGAGGCCTTGTGGCTAGTAAAAAGCCGGGGCTAGTTAAAATTAAAGGACCGGATAACCCCACATGCTATGTTTTTCGCAAGGATGTGAGTTCAAATGTCCACACACATGTACCGTGCGCCCCTTGTATGGATGCGATTACAGAGCACCCAGATGCACAGAATGCTGCGCCTGCCACGACTTCGGCAACGGCATCGCCAAAGTGCTGCGCCTGCCACGATTTCGCAACGGCATCGCCAAAGTGCTGCGCCTGCCACGATTTCGCACACCCCCCGCCGCGCGCGCGACAACATCCTGTCCCTCTAGACAGCTGCCGAATGCGACCCCTGCCACACAAACACACACCCAGATGCACAGAATGCTGCGCCTGCCACGACTTCGGCAACGGCATCGCCAAAGTGCTGCGCCTGCCACGATTTCGCAACGGCATCGCCAAAGTGCTGCGCCTGCCACGATTTCGCACGCCCCCCGCCGCGCGCGCGACAACATCCTGTCCCTCTAGACAGCTGCCGAATGCGACCCCTGCCACACAAACACACACCCAGATGCACAGAATGCTGCGCCTGCCACGACTTCGGCAACGGCATCGCCAAAGTGCTGCGCCTGCCACGATTTCGCAACGGCATCGCCAAAGTGCTGCGCCTGCCACGATTTCGCACGCCCCCCGCCGCGCGCGCGACAACATCCTGTCCCTCTAGACAGCTGCCGAATGCGACCCCTGCCACACAAACACACACCCAGATGCACAGAATGCTGCGCCTGCCACGACTTCGGCAACGGCATCGCCAAAGTGCTGCGCCTGCCACGATTTCGCAACGGCATCGCCAAAGTGCTGCGCCTGCCACGATTTCGCACGCCCCCCGCCGCGCGCGCGACAACATCCTGTCCCTCTAGACAGCTGCCGTGAGTCAGCGAGTGTGAGTGAGTGAGTGAGCGAGTGAGAGTGAGTGAGTGAGTGAGTGAGTGAGTGAGTGAGTGAGTGAGTGAGTGAGTGAGTGAGTGAGTGAGTGAGTGAGTGAGTGAGTGAGTGAGTGAGTGAGTGAGTGAGTGAGTGAGTGAGTGAGTGAGTGAGTGAGTGAGTGTGAGTGAGTGAGTGAGTGAGTGAGTGAGTGAGTGAGTGAGTGAGTGAGTGAGTGAGTGAGTGAGTGAGTGAGTGAGTGAGTGAGTGAGTGAGACGGAGACGAGCGGGAGAAGGAGGAGACGCGGCGCGCGGACGACGAGCGGAAAAAGTAAGAGCCCCACACAAAGATGTGGGGAAACACACACCCAGATGCACAGAATGCTGCGCCTGCCACGACTTCGGCAACGGCATCGCCAAAGTGCTGCGCCTGCCACGATTTCGCAACGGCATCGCCAAAGTGCTGCGCCTGCCACGATTTCGCACGCCCCCCGCCGCGCGCGCGACAACATCCTGTCCCTCTAGACAGCTGCCGAATGCGACCCCTGCCACACAAACACACACCCAGATGCACAGAATGCTGCGCCTGCCACGACTTCGGCAACGGCATCGCCAAAGTGCTGCGCCTGCCACGATTTCGCAACGGCATCGCCAAAGTGCTGCGCCTGCCACGATTTCGCACGCCCCCCGCCGCGCGCGCGACAACATCCTGTCCCTCTAGACAGCTGCCGAATGCGACCCCTGCCACACAAACACACACCCAGATGCACAGAATGCTGCGCCTGCCACGACTTCGGCAACGGCATCGCCAAAGTGCTGCGCCTGCCACGATTTCGCAACGGCATCGCCAAAGTGCTGCGCCTGCCACGATTTCGCACGCCCCCCGCCGCGCGCGCGACAACATCCTGTCCCTCTAGACAGCTGCCGAATGCGACCCCTGCCACACAAACACACACCCAGATGCACAGAATGCTGCGCCTGCCACGACTTCGGCAACGGCATCGCCAAAGTGCTGCGCCTGCCACGATTTCGCAACGGCATCGCCAAAGTGCTGCGCCTGCCACGATTTCGCACGCCCCCCGCCGCGCGCGCGACAACATCCTGTCCCTCTAGACAGCTGCCGAATGCGACCCCTGCCACACAAACACACACCCAGATGCACAGAATGCTGCGCCTGCCACGACTTCGGCAACGGCATCGCCAAAGTGCTGCGCCTGCCACGATTTCGCAACGGCATCGCCAAAGTGCTGCGCCTGCCACGATTTCGCACGCCCCCCGCCGCGCGCGCGACAACATCCTGTCCCTCTAGACAGCTGCCGAATGCGACCCCTGCCACACAAACACACACCCAGATGCACAGAATGCTGCGCCTGCCACGACTTCGGCAACGGCATCGCCAAAGTGCTGCGCCTGCCACGATTTCGCAACGGCATCGCCAAAGTGCTGCGCCTGCCACGATTTCGCACGCCCCCCGCCGCGCGCGCGACAACATCCTGTCCCTCTAGACAGCTGCCGAATGCGACCCCTGCCACACAAACACACACCCAGATGCACAGAATGCTGCGGCTGCCACGACTTCGGCAACGGCATCGCCAAAGTGCTGCGCCTGCCACGATTTCGCAACGGCATCGCCAAAGTGCTGCGCCTGCCACGATTTCGCACGCCCCCCGCCGCGCGCGCGACAACATCCTGTCCCTCTAGTGAGTGTGAGTGAGTGAGTGAGAGTGAGTGAGTGAGTGAATGAGAGTGAGTGAATGAGAGTGAGTGTGAGTGAGTGAGTGTGAGTGAGCGTGAGTGAGTGAGTGTGAGTGAGCGTGAGTGAGTGAGTGTGAGTGAGTGTGAGTGAGTGAGTGTGAGTGAGTGTGAGTGAGTGAGTGTGAGTGAGTGAGTGAGTGTGAGTGAGTGAGTGAGTGAGCGAGTGTGAGTGAGTGAGTGTGAGTTGAGTGAGTGTGAGTTGAGTGAGTGAGAGTGAGTGAGTGAGTGAGACGGAGACGAGCGGGAGGAGGAGGAGGAGGAGACGCGGCGCGCGGACGACGAGCGGAAAAAGTAAGAACCCCACACAAAGATGTGGGGAAAAAACACCTCAACCTTGCAAGCTGTACGTGGTGCTAAGTCTTCCGGAGTGGTACTTTTCGTTTTCTTGGGGGTATGTCAAAAGGGTTTGGGGCTATTTGGGCGGTTTTTCGGACTGGCTTCCTTTTGGCATTCAATCGGAAGCCGGTTGTTTTTGAGATATTGACATTTTATAATCGTGAGACCAGGCAACATCAGGCATCCTTCATATAATTTGTGGCTTGGGGATTTGAAGCGCGGGTTCTTGCGGGTAAAGGGGAAGCAGTCCCTAGCCACCGCACCATCAATCCAAACCACCAAATTAGAGGGAAGCTGGCAACAGAGGGCTTGTCCAACGGTGGCTTCCTGCTGATTTCGGGCACCTTTGTCTTGAATCACGGCATGAAGGCGTGTGGCCGCAAGCACATAGCTTGGGAGTTGTTTTTCTTGCCTATTTTCCTCTTTTTTGGGGGGAGATGTTTAAGGGTGAAGTACTGGGATCCCTTTCTGAACCCGTGCCAAGTGCCAACGGCTCCTCCTGGGCAGTTCTCATCTCCAGGAAGTGGCTGGCTTCGCGCGGGGAGGCAGAGGCCGAGGACTTGATGGAGGAGCACAGGCCAGCGCGGGGAAGAGGTGGGAAGTCGGATCCTTCCAATTTGGTTGGTGGACATATACTAGGTCCCCCAGTAGTGCCCTTTTACCCTTTTTTGGGGGAGGGTTCCCCTGCTAAAATAGACTACAGAAAAAAGGGTACCCTCATTCTAACCTCTCTACTGGAGGACCTAGTATATCCCCCACATGATGTCCGACGTTCGCCAGATAGTCCTCAAACAATCAAAAGCCGTGCCCATTTTGGCTGGCCTCAAGATGGGAGAACTCCGTAAACAGGGCAGGTTCGTTGGGGGTTCCTTCAAACCAGCTCCCGAAAGGGTACCCAGCCTCAAAAATCAGACTTGCCCCTGGACCTGGCGGGTAGCCCAGTGGGGGGTGATGCTTGGCTGCCGTTTCGTTGGATCTTCAAGATAAAGAAAGACGCCTTGCATGTTGACCCATGGTGGATAATGGCCCCCCCCGGCCCATAAGCGAAGGATCCCCTCTAGAATGCAACACCCCCTGGGTGAACATTTTTTTTGGGCAAATGCATTTTTTCTCCAAAAAGTGTAAAGCTCTTTGTGCAGGGGGGCCGGCACCAGCCACACAGGATTCCTAGGACGCGTCAAAACGCGATGCCCTCGACCAATGCAGGGCGAGGATCTTTCGCCCAACTTTGTGCAAATGTCCTTTTTCATTATGTTGTTTGAGAAGTCTTCAACCTTTCACTGGACATCTTGTGGTATTCTCTCCAAGAAACGTATCCGCAAAGGGAAGTTCCCCTTCGGTGTTCCTTTGCTTGTCCGGTCTTTGGTGTCCTGTTGGAAACAGGAAGTTGTCCATTCCCACAAGTGATCGAGCCTTTGCTCTCTCTCGCGAAAAAGGGGCCAACCTACCCAAGCCCCGATTCGGTCGAATGGGAGGAGCCCAAAGAGGGCGGTGCTCATAAGATCCATTTATTGAAGACATTCCACTGGACCCAAGCACGCCCCTCAAGGGGTTGGGCAGAAAAAATGAGGTGAACAAGGGGATCCCTTCACTTGCCAGGGCGGCCCGCGTGGCGCCCTGTGCGCCGCTTCCTCCCAAGGAGGAAGCGGCGTTGGCTTCGGGGCGGCGGGTGCTGGAGGTGCGGATGGTTTTTGTGCAGCCAGGCGCGAGTGGGGCGGAGAAGGGGGGAGGGGCATTTGGCTTTGAAAGGCCACATGCATTTCAACAAAGGGGATACCCCGGTTTGCTCTTGTAAACAATGGTACAAGGGGACTGACCCTCGTACCCCAGTTACAGTGCTTATGACCCAACTCGATGGAGCATTGTAATTTCCTGAATCTAAGAGCCACCTACTGTGGATGGACGAAATCCTCCAGCACCTATGAAACCCTGGAATGATATTCAGGTCTAAGCAGCGACTTCCCCTTTGTCCAGCATCCACACAATTGCGCATTTGCAGAATTTCCCCATCCCATGTGTCTTTTTTAGAAGGTACACCTTTGTGGCTGGTTTAAAATGGGAAACCCGCAGGAACGTCCTTTTTGGTCCCAAACACCCCCCAACGCCGGTGCATGCAGTCCCCCCCCCCCCCCCCCGCCTTGCCCGCGCAACCCCCCAGCCGCGAGGCCAGCGCGGCCGGGGCTTTGGCCGCCGCCTGTTGGAGCACCTGGCGCTTGTGGCCCGCCTCGCGGGCGCCGAGGCGCCACGGGGAAGCCCGGCCATAGTGGATGGACGAGATCCATTTCGCACCGCTTTGATTTGAAGCCATGAGAAGCCCTTTTTTGGCCGGTGTTTGCAAGGGGATCTATCATTTCAGGGTTTCTTACTGTAGGTGGTGCAGGATTTCGTCCATCCACAGTAGCTTCCAGGATTCCATGTTTGGTGCTTCGTCCTGGGTTTCGGCGGCCAAACAAGCACAATTTGAGGCGGCATCGAATACAACGCTGGTGTAACTCCTATATAACCCTTATGTATAACCCTCATATATAACCCTTATATAACCTTTCTGTATCCTTTGGCTTTCGGGGGATCTGTCACAGTTGGTATGTTTTTGTTATTTCCAGTTTTGGCCATAGAATATGATAGAAATAGATGGGTTCCACTGCTTGAGATGGGTTGTATGCCCCATTTACCTATGCTTTTAGCTTAAAGTTCAGATGGATTTGGGCCTGTCTTGTTTTGAGGGGGCCGCCAACAAATGGCGGTGTTCCTTTTGGCCTCCCTTTCACCACCAACAAGAATAAGTACCCCCCCGCCAAGAAAAAAGTCAGACCCATTTAAAATTTATTACGTATGTCCACTAAGAGTTTTAGGTTTAGCAAGGGATCAGCGATCCAAGCAAAGTGGTTGGCGGACATGACCCGCCACCTAAATGATGTCCACAGGGTTCCTCGCGATCTCGGCAAAGAGGTCTCGGCCAACCTCAAGAGAAACTTGCCTTGAAGTAACCCATCCACTCCAGTCACATCCTAAACCAACTTCAAACCAACCCAAAGCTCATCCGAAGTCCCAACAGGCTTCTGGTGCTGGGGCGGTATGTCAAATGACGCTGACCATGTAGCTGGTAGCTGTGAATGGCATCTGGGAACTTGCGTGGGGGGGGGCTGTCTAGCTTTTTGGACCCTTAACAATAGGCATATTAAGGGCCCCCATGATCAAGATTTCTCGTGGATTCCTTTCCGCTCAGGCTCGAACATCATGCCCCCGGGGTGGGCTCGGGCTGCCTTGACCCCCCACTTAGCTACAGAAAGCTGGTGGCGCCTGCTCCCTTGCTGACCTGTTGTCTTGACTGCGACAGGGTTGGATCTTGAGACTTTAATTTTTTTTGAAACTCAAGGGTCCCAAAAAGTGAAACACTTTTTGCAGGGGGGTCAACAGCAACCAAGTTGTTCACACCTCTCGACAGGTGCGCGCTGGAGCGGTCACGTCGGAGGACTCTCGCGGCTTTCTGCGCGCTTGCGGCTTCCAGGCGACTGCCCATCGATCGGCAAAGCGGAGTTTGGCTTTTTCCGTGGACAAGGGGCATCCAATGGGGAAGCCTAACATGGGATGTACGCTGTCGAAGGCATTTTGAGCGATTTTGAGGCGTATTTTGAAGCTGGTAAAAGAAACCAAAAGGCTACCCAGGCCAAGTGTGGGTTTCTCCGACCTTTGGAACACGCCTTGTCACGGGTGGAGTTTACTTTGACTGGGCCACCCCTGGACAAAAAGGCCTTCACTTCTTTGATTGCTGGAAAAGGGCAACCGATGTGAGAACAGCTTGGACTCTTGGCGGCGGCCTTGTTGGTCTTCTGCAGGCCATTTGCAAATCACATTCATGGCGGTCTCCTGGAAGTGCGCCGGAACCCAAGCACCACATGACCCCCATCCCCGGGTTTTGGGGATGGATTGTTCCTGCCGCTTCAGGTGGGGCGGGGGGGGGCCTCAGGCATGTGTGATGCAAACGCACGCGCGCACATACGGCCATGGGTCAAAATCCTGTACCCCCAGTGAACCACCCAATCCCCACAAAAATAGGTTCTAAAATTTGGGTGGTGAATTCACCTACCAACCAAAATTTGGGATCCCAACCACAGCCATATATGAAGCGGGACATGAGGCAATTCGTGAGGCTCTGGCCCATTGGACACCCGTTGCATGCGCCTTGGATGTGGAGCTCACATGCCCAGTAGGTCTGAATACACCTAGTGTTGACCCCATGTGAACCAACCCCAGTCGCAACAAATAGGGGGTGTGGGTTTCTCCAAAAGTGAGGTTGGTTTCCCCAAAAATTCACCCAGGGACACCCCCTGTAAATATACTGGGGTTGATTCTATTTTGGGGTCAACATGAACAAACTTGGCCTGCAGAAGCATGTGATGAGATCTGAAGCATCCCAGTCTTTGGCCACTGCCGCTAGGCGCAGGAAGCCGACGGCGTGTGGACGCTCCCCGTGGAAAAAAAAGGGTCAGCTGCGAGGGACAGCTGTCAGGAGTGGGGCCTTGGGCAGAGATTTGGGTTTACAGTTGAAAGCTGGTGCAACTCCAAATGGAGGATGCTAAAAAAGTGGCCAAAGTTGCTTCTGTGGTGCCCCCCAAGTTTCTGAAGAAAGAAAGAGCACGCCTCCGCCTTTTTCCACTATGTCTTCAAGCAACGCACTGGATTTCGTCTGTGGCTGAATGTCAACAAACATCCGGAGGTAAACATGTATATGAATATATATATATATATATATATATATATATATATTATACACACACAACATCCGGAGGTTGTTAAACATGTATATGCATATATGCATATATATATACATATACACACAATAGGCGATGCAGCAAGCATGGGGGAAGGAGGAGGGAACATCAGGTGTTTCGTACTTGGTGGTTTGGATTGGGGGTCGTTTTGTAAGGTGACACCAATATGGGCGTGTCTTTTTTTGAGGATATCCCCTTGCTTCTGGTGACGGGAACCAAAGGGACAGCTCCTCCTTAACTACATACTCATATACACTATTGTTTTCTTGGTAACAGAAACCTGGGAAAGCTTCCTCCGGCAGTTCGTAGCCTTCGACCTCGATCCATCGAAAGACGTGGCTCCAGCACTCGCCGCCTTCACGAATCCAACTTCTAGGCTGGAGTGGGAAGGGGGTACAGGGAGTTTGGAGACTGGATTCACATCAACGGGTCAGTGCCTCAATAAGATGCCTGGAAGGCTGCTCTCGTGTTTCTTATACATGGTTTCTTTTGCCACAAAGGACCCGCTTTCCAATCGATGGATACCGTTGTAGCTGGGTGGGTCCAAAACACAAACGAGGAAGTCCCAGCGCAGCTTTTCAGACGATGGCCGCGACAATCGGGGGGAGTTGTTGTTTTGGTAGTTACCGAAAGGAACAAGAGGCCCATAGGTGTCCTTTTTAGGTGAGTTTGGTTAATTAGAAATAGATGGGTTCCACTGGTTTAGATGGGGTTTATTCCATTTACCAGGGCCATCTATTTTTCCAAAAGGCCATCTATGAACAAGAGGCGCTTCACGAAGGGGGGGGTATCAAGCTCTATGGGCAGATTGTTGCGCATAGACAGCTGTGTTGTTTCATGCCGTTCTGTTGAGCTGAGCCAAGTCTGGGGAGCACTCGGGGATGGCTTTGAAAACATGTGAAACGGCCGTTTTGAGGTCTAGGTCAGACGCAGCCGGCCTGCTTATCATCTTTGCTGAGTACGACATTGGCCAAAAAGGCAACTTGCCACTGGGGGTGCTTTTTCATGGCCAGGAGCGACAGACTAGATAAACTTTAAACCATGCGCAAGCCAATCCCAAACAAACCTTTGTCAACGTTTGTCTACAGTAAGTTGGTCAGATGTTGTGACGAACATCGGTTTTTGCTGCTAGGGTTAATACCTTCAACCAATTCTACACCAACCCTACCCACCCAATATACCCGCTCTCTGCCAACCCAAAACCACACATGGGAAAGGGATGGATAGTGGCGCCCTTTCTTTCGAAAAAGCTGGACCTGGACGAAAGTCTGACCCTGTGAGCCGCCGTGGGACATGGAGGTTTTTTAAAACCTACTGCGGAGTCCAGAAAGTAGCACTTGGGCCCTTTGTTGATCAGGGTCCCCTAAGGGGAACATCTTCAATTTGAGAAGCTATCCTTTACTTTCCCTGACCTGGGATGAATAATCCGCCTGGTTTTTTACCGGTCTTTTGCTTTCGGGGCATCCTTCTAAAATGGCGGGCTCACGGATGGGTAAAGCAAGCTCACCCATGAAGGGCTTTTGGATTAAGACGGTTCCGACCTTGATTCCGGTTATAAACTGTTGGCCGTTTCGGGCCAGAGTAAGATACGGGGGAGGAGGGAACATAGGGAAGCCTGTGAGCAACGGACACGCCTGATCGGTTTTCGGTAGCGATCGCTTTGTGGCAAAGCTTGTCGGTCATGACAATCAGGTGTGCAAGCACCTAAAATCCCTTGCAAAAGAACTCCTTTCCTAGAAGCCAAGCAAGAATTGTGGGCGTAAAAATTAATTAGGGAGCCTTTGGTGGACGTCATTCACATGGGTTTATGGCCACCAACCCTCTTTGAGGAGTTCTTTGTTAAGATTCATAGCCATAGAGGGGGACTGTTGGCTACCCTTTAAACTTTCAAAAAGGGTCAAAACAAGCAAACACACAGACACACACACACATGGGTATGGGTCAACATCAAACCACCAGGAGAAAGGGCCCAAAACCAGGAATTTTCGTGCCTGGAACCCGTTTACCAGGGGCTTTGCAAGCCCTTCTGGGGTTACCAAGTCCCATGTAGCTTGGTGGCTCCTGGCCATCCGGTCCCTGAGCTTTTCAAGATCTCTTTAGTTGGTTTAGTGTCTACCAGCTGCTTGGCAAGCAGGTTACAGGGGAAACATTAAGTTGGTTTCGTGGTTGGGTTTCCATTTACATGTGAAAAGTGATTGGTGGACAAATAAATCCCCACCGAAGTCGGATGTCCACCATTTCGGGTTTTTGATTAAAATGGTCAAGGGTCCCTCAGAACAATTCATAGCCATGTGAACCCATGTCATCTTCAAACCCCATATTTTAGTGGGTCCCTAACTCCCCACCTAAAGCTATTTTGTAGCAACAACTTATCGCCGCCATCTAAAATCCCCACCTAGTTTGTTTAAATTTTATTAACAACACAAATCCCCCTTTGGCGTCACAGGAAGAATGGGCGGTTTTTCCCGGAGACTTGGGCGGTTCCTTGTAACCATCTCCCCATCTGAGGGCTCTGCTCCGCCAGGCCATGGCTCTGCTCCGCCAGGCTGTGCGCTCCGTGGCCCAGGCGTGGCTGGCGAAGGGGGGCAAAGGGGGCGTGGGACGTGGGGGAGGGGGCAGCGGGGAACCGGGGGCCAGGTGGCGCAGTTTTTTTTTGGGGGGGGGGAGGGGTGCAGCGGATGGTTTTGGACCTAGGTTGGTGTGAGGGTATTTCAAGATTTGTGGGACTTGTCTCACTTGTTACTCTTTTTTTTCTTTTCCGAGGGTGCCCGATTGTGACATGTGTGCGTGTACTGTGGTACTTTTAAGTTGGTGCTGCTTTCACTTTGGTTTGAGGGACACCAGACGGAAGACCCATTTTCAGGAGCACCCTCTCTGGACATGCCCAACTACTTAGCCCTCCAATCCGCCCTGGCGCAAAACGAGCAAAAGCGCATGAAGATCCCTTGGGGATCAGTGAATGGATGCTGGGGCCCATGCTCTTGGCACGCGTTGTACTTGTTGGTTCTTTCATTCCACTCACAACCGCCAGTTGCTATAACATTCAAATTGTGTGCGAAGTCTGGGTTACGCCATCTGACAGCGGAACGTCTAGTTCTTGGGCGTGTTGCTTTCTTGGGTTTGTTCATGAGCGCCAAATGGTCAAAACTTACTCGTTTGGGGATGTCCATGGACTCGCTTGGGCTGGAATATACTGAACCAGAGGGATAGCCGTGGACCCGATCCGAGGAGACCATGACCCCAACCTCAACTCCACAACCCCACTCCCCCACCCACCCCCAAGCCACCCATATTTCTAGGGGTTGATTCCCCAACCATCGTTCTTTTCAAAAACCGGCTGTTTCCCCTTGGGATTTTGATGGTTTCTTGAAAAGAAGGATCCCTGGAAAGAATGGAAGGTCCCCCTAGAATATGTCCACCCCACCCCCACCCCCAACTCCAGCAGCTTTCATCCACGCGGTTCCAGCAAAGCCACAGGCCTCCGCTCTGCGCTCGGCGGCCCCAGGCCGATGGATGTTCCTTCGATTTGGACCGGTTTCGCAGAATGGATCTCCTCGTTTTTGTTTGGTTAAAGGTTCCACCGAAGGAACCTCGCCCCCCCTCCCTCGTTTTGAGAAGCCAGAGGAGTCAAGCCTGCAATTCTTTTTCTTTTCGTTTTGGGGGAACACCATCCCCAAGGTGATGCATATTGGGTCTGCGAGTTTTGGGAGCCGCCTTTTCAGGTCGGTTTTTGAAGGGAGCTGGAAGGAACGCCGCCATGTGGGTCCAAATCCCTATTTCTTCCATACCCACCTCAGAAGAACCCACCGGTTTCGGGTGTTTCTGGTGTTCTTCTGGTTGTTTCCGTCGGGAGTGCAAGGCTTCTGGTTTGATCAATAAAGACCTGGCGAATTCCTAGCGGGGAGTGCCTGGAAGAGCTCAGGCTGCGGGGGAATCACCCTGAGAATGTGGCAGGTTGACAAATCTGTCGACTTGGGCGATGCAAGGGTTGTGGGCATAGGTGTCCTTTTAGGTTACTTTGGTTAAGAATAGATGGCACTGGTTTAGATGGGTTTATCACATTTACCAGGGCTATCTATTCTTCCAAAAGGTCACGTATGGATGTGGGTTTTTAGGTTCTCTCACCCTGCTACCAGCTCAAGCGCCCGACTTTCTTTTGTGGCGTTCAAGGGACACCAAACGGAAACCGCAATTGGCGGTCGCGTAAAAAAGGCACACCGTACCCTAAGCATGTTTCTTGTTGGTGGTTTTAAACAAGCCAAACTAAGATGAGTTGCTTTTGGGATGCTTAAAGGGGCAATATAGGGAACTCTGCGAGCAGACAATATTGGCTGGGCATCGGTTGTGGTAGCAATATTGCATATCAATCATGTGTGCACACCGGCCTCCTTTGTTGGGGAGCCCCCCCTTGGTTGGAATCCATGCCGGGTGATTCGAATTTGACGAAAGCTATCGGAATTCATTGCGTGGCCTCGTCAGAAAGCCGGCTGCCGCAAGGTGCCAGCATCCTGTGCCGTGCGACTGCTCCGGCTGCATCGGACGCCGTGGCCTTGATGCCAGCTTTACTGACCGGCAGGGCATTTGGCTGGCCGAAAACCAGTGCTGTGGCAAGCTGGCTTTCTTCTCATTGTTTGGTGGGCTTCCCCCTTGAAACGGTTAACTCCTAGAAAGGGTTCTCTCACGACCCATGTTGATGGCGGATGCTGGCAGATGAACAGGGTCTTCTCCAAAAGTGAAGGCTTCCCTGTAAAGTGGCACGCCCCCTGTGATTCAATCAGGGGGGTATTGATCCTGGATCCACATTAGTAGGTTTCAGGCGATTCCGCATTGGGTCGCGGGGTGGGAAAACTAGTTTAGTTCTGCCACTTGGGTCACTTGAGACCGAGACTAATTAGCTGAATTGCGACACTTGGGTCGCTTGGGTCACCCAACTGTGGCAGCACTCCAAGCGAACCAATTGGCACAAGCGGCATAAGTGGCACAAGTGACCCAAGTGGCACAAGCGTCAGGAGCAGCAAGTGCCCCAACTGTCAATGGCCGGGACTGCAGCTCAGGGTGAACGCCTTCGTTCACACGAAGCACCGCTTTTTTGTGCTAGCGGTTCGTGCCTTGCTTGTTGCTCTTCTGCCAGCTCGGGCTGCTTATCTCGGCTCCTTCGGTGGATCTGGTGGCGTTGGTGATGCTGCGGGTGCTGATGCGAGTTGTTGCGCTGTAAGCTTGTGCCATGCTGGTGGTTCTTTTGCTGCCAGAAAGCAATTCTTGACGAAGGGAGAGAAGGAGACAGAGAACCGATCCTCCCTTGCAAGCTCTATCGCTCCATCCTTGCGTCTCGAGTTCCTTCCACTATGAAAGACTCGCAGTGGAAAGGTCTGATGCTTTCTTCCCACAAATTCTTTCCTCGTCCCATGATTTCTTTGCTATTTGATGTCTTTGAAGCTCTTGAAAAATGGGGCGGGAAGGGATCAAGAGATACAATTCAAGATCCCTAAAGTACAAGTAATTATTAATAGATCAATAAAGGTTTGGGATCTTGGCCGTTCCACATCCTAAAGTATATAATTCTAGTAGATGTGGATGAGCAAGAGCGAGATGATCAGTGGCTGGCATCTCTTCCCATTATTAGCCAACACTTGGCTCTCTTTGTCCCTTCCCTTCATTTCTGTTTATCCGGCTGGACATGGAGAGGCCGGAAGATGAAAGGAAGGGAGAGCATGGCATGGCTACCTCCCGCGAGAGACGGGAGCGAGATGTTGGCGAAGCGATCCCATTCTCTCCACCTGTCAGCTCTTGTAATCGCATGCCAGGTAAACGAAGGAAGAGGGGCAGCGAGAGCTGGAGCTTCACCATCTCTCGTCTCATCTCCTATCTCTTGGTCTTTTCTCCTTTCACTTCTCTCCGGTAACGTCCCAAGGCGTAAACAGGATATTGGTAAGGGATGCAAGATGAGATAGGTCCCGCCAGCCTCTCCTTCCTATGGTATCTTCGCCTGGCGGCGTAATCCCAAGAGCAGGAAAGAGAGAAGGGTGAGCTGAGCGGGGAATTTCCTTCGTACCATCTCACTGCCGCCTTTCATTCATAAGGTTTGCAGCACAGATATGAGAAAGGAAGAAGGATCTGATGGAGGATGAAAAATAGGGAGAGAAAGAGAGCTGGAGATAGAGGTGGGTTAGCCAGTTGGACGAAGAGATGGCTCACCCATTCATTCTCAGCTGCGGCCAAGAGATCCAAATAAGGAGTACCAATGAAAACTATCCCAAATGCGGTTGAATGGAGGTGTTTTTTTCTTTCCCCCCCCCCCCCGCATTTTAAGGGTTATATGTCCCACCGCCTATTCTCCCTGGAACCCCTTGACATATTTTCCAAGTTGAGAAGAGGAGGTGGGACAAAAAGGCACGGCATTAGAGATTCACCTTCCAGCCCTGACGGAGAGGCTGAATGTTGACCCAGGATTAATAGACACATGAATAGGGGGTGTTCCCTCCAAAAGTGGTCTGAATCCCCACTAAAATGGGACACCCCCCTGGGGGTTAATGAATCCGGGGTTTACATTACCATGGTGACAGGAATGAATGAGAATGGGAGTTAATCCGCTGGCCGCGCTTGGGATTGAACGGCGGGACTTCCTTTCAGGCGTCATCTCTTCTCTTCTATATTCCTTGAGACTAGACCAGGCGAATACACCAGGAGATGGAAGGGAAGTGGGTGTGGCTCAAAATTCAAATGCCAGGGTTACGCAGGTTTTGGTCTTCGTTTCCATTTACCAGGGTGCCAGTTTGTGTACCATTTTGTGTTTCGCGGCCAAGTGAGAGAATGTGCGGTACCTTCCTTGAGCGGTTTTACACAGCAAGGCTGCCGAGACTCTGATGTCTGTGGAGGAAACAGACAAAGTGCGTCTTTTGATCGGTGGACGAACCAGCCCCTTGGTGTGTTTGTAAAGAGGAAACCACAGCACCAATGGTGGTTTCGAGGGTCCAACAAGGTCAAAACCACCCCCCACAACAAGTTTGGGGCTTGCTCTGGGCAAGTTTTGGCCACTTCATCAAGGGCGAACATCATCCTAATCACTAATATTGTTCCAGGTGAGCATTGACATGGACTTTGCAGTCTGTAGAGTTGGATATTGTGAACAACCAATTTTCAGATCGGCCATGAGAAGGTTGTAAGCCCTGAATCGTCACACATGTTCACGGTTGAGTGGGAAATCGCTATCGTGCTATCACCGTTTCGGGAAGCCAATGCCATTTGTGAGACTTCTTTGGGGTAATGTTTCAAGTGAACAGGGAAGCATCTATAAGGGTCGCGATATGGATCTTCCGTTTCAGTTTCGCCCAGGTGCTGTCTGGGATGCCTTCGCTCGGCCTCGGTGCGCCGACGGTGAGTTGATGAACCGGCGATCTCTTTTTCGGGCAAGGCTGTAGGTACACCCATGTAGTGGAAGCACACCCGGGTGACATTACACCTAAGGGAGTACACCCATGGGCAACTTGAGGCTCGACCCCCACACAAGCTCACTAGGGTGGTGCCTCTAAATTCCATGCTTAGGCTTTGAGAGGTGTTTGCTAGGGAACGTTATAGATTATTACTATTAATAGTAATAATATTATGTATTTATTATTGTTAGTTGTATTATTAGTTGTAGCACAATCATCATTATTATTATTGTTGTTTTTTGTTATTATTAGTCATTTATTTGTATTGTGTTTATTTATTTATTATTCATTATTTATTATTATTTATTATTCATTATTTATTATTATTTATTATTTATTATTATATTTAATATTATCATTGTGATTAATCATGCTTTCCATGATTGTCATTCTTATTATTAGTATTTATTGTTATTAATATTGTTGTTATTATTGTTATTCTTATTATTGTTAGTCATTATTTATATTATCTATTATTGTTACTAATCATGTGTTTCATCATGTTTCTTAATACTATTACTACTATTATCATTATAATCATCATTATTATTGGTTTGGTTTCATTAGTCAGTACTGTTTATTTTTATTTTTATTTTTATTATGACTCATTATCATCATCATCATCATCATCATCATCATCATCATCATCATCATCATCATCATCATCATCATCATCATCATCATCATCATCATCATCATCACTATTATCATTTAACATGGTTCAGAGGGCAAGGTGAATCGTCCGTTCATGTGTTTCAGTGGATTCTTGTGCCAGGCGCTCCCATCTCCAAGCGCCATGCGGGAGTGTCTGTGCTGGGCTGCGCCATTGCCATGGTGGCCGTGGGAGGCTGTGCGCAGGCAGGAACGGGGGGTGGAGGGTGGGCGGTGGCAGAGGGTTCCTTCAAGAAGAAAGTTTGTCTTGTGCGCCCTTTCTCCAGGTCTCTTCCGAATCAAACGGAAGGGAAGTAAGATCGACCACCTGATCGACCACCGAGCAGGTGGCAATGGCTCGGTCGAGCCGTGCCCCGTGCTCCCCCAAACTCCTCCCCAAGTGCACCCATTTCCCCACCCCAACTCATTCCCATCCGAATTTGCAAGTGGCTGTGGCTCACCCAAATCGCACCTCGGTAAATGGAACCAACGACAAAACATGTGCAACCATGAACAGGACCACCCCTTGAGGCAATAGTTGCAGGGCATGTGACAGCGTTTTCACGGACAAACCCCTATCCGGACGAATCTGACCTGAGCAAGGCCCAGTGTCCGGGTCTCTGCTTTCCGCCTAGGCACTGTTGAAGCGATGCCTTTCTTTGCGGGTCCGGATCCACTGAAGGAGTGTATGATATGGGTCCGTATTTTGTTCGATGGCGCCTTTTTTTGGCTGGTTTTCAAAGGACAACCACCATTTCGGGGCTCCCCTATTTTCAGACACGCCCAGATTCTCCAGCCAGTCCGAAGGCAGATCCCAGCACGCTCACTCCGATCACTCTACCTGCCAGGGCATCGGTCAGCTCTTCGCGGCGCTGGTGGTGGGCATGGCAAGGAACCCGTCCATGAAGGAGGATCTCTTCACGTGAGGGGGGGGTGGAGAGGAGAGGATTGACCCCATGGGCCAGGGTTGGTTGCGACAAAGTTGCATCAGCCTTTGCTTGGCTTGGAAGGGCACTCCCCTTCTCAAGTTGAGAAACGGTTGTTGGCTTCCGAAGATTTTCCAAAGGATGTGAGGTGTCTTTTCATTTTGGGCCTCCTTTTAACACCACAAAAAAGGGTACCCTCAAATTGAGACCATGTATATATATATATATATACACGCCTGTGCAAGAATCCTGGGAGAGCTGTTTGCAGCCGGGCGGCGGGCTACTTTCTCCAGCCCATTTTTGCGGCGAGGGCTGGTTTTAACAGGAGCTCGCCATGTAGGTCATCTTGGATCCCTCGTATTTCGGGTTGTGGCGGGTCTCCAGATTGGAAAGCCGGCTCTTGATCAGATCTAAAAGATCTTGGAAAACCGATCTTTATGACAATTATTCTGTCACTGCCCAAGGGAACTTTCTGTGCCTTTCTCATGCTTGGATGGGAACCATTTTGGTACCTCAATCTGAGAACTGGACGATATTTCCCTGACACAAGTGCACAAGCATGTATGTCAAGCCGCGTGGCATTACTTTGTGTGGGGCTCTTTTCTTGATGGGAGTTCTTGCTTTTCTAGTTTGTCGGCCACCAGATTTGCAGAGAATCAGATGAGGTGAAAGTCCAGAAACGGCTCCTTTTGATTTCCGCAAGTTTGTGTCTTGACTTGGGGCAAACCCAATCCAAAGCTCCTAGGCAAAGGCCCACAAAGGCCTTTGGGCCCAAAGGCCCCAAAGGTTCCTAGCCAAGCAAGCAAGCAAGCAAGCAAGCAACCGACCAGGTACACGCTGATCGGAATGGGTTTCCTGGAGTTCTTGGCCATTGTGGTCATCCTCATCGCAGGCGTCGTTCGCTCGTCATCGGCGCTCGAATCGCCCGATCTTTAAAAGACTGCAAGGTAGACGTAGGCCCGGATTTATTCCAAAAGATTCCGTTGTTTGACTACCAAGCTAGACGCAAGCAGGGAAATCCACATATTTTGTTGGCTGGGTGCCAGAACATTTGAGGTAAAACCCAGAGATCGTGGTCCAAAAATCGGGCAACGCCTCATTGGAACGTGGCGCGGCGGGCTCTCCGGGGTTTCAGGCTTGCTGCTGTACTCCGAGTGAGGCCGGGGCACTGGTGGATTGGTGGGTCTGAGCGGTCTGAGCGGTTCCCCTGCAGCGAAAGAAATCCTGAGAAGACTCTCTTGGTGCTTTTCTTGCGGGGGGGCGTTGGCGGCTTTTTGCCGGCCGGGCGTTTTCGCAGAATTTGGCGTGACACTTGGGGCTAGTGATGTGAGTTTCTGAGAAACCACCGTGACCTGCAAGGGACTGAACCAGAAGATCCTGCGAGTTGGGGGAGCAGCGCAGCAACACACGGCTTCGGACAACTGCGAACCCCCTTTTTAGTTTAGTGTTTTTTCACTAGAAATGATGCGGAACCTTTTTCCTCCTTTTTGTTTGGTGTCTTTTTCCTGCCAGCGGCTCCTTGTTGTTTGGTGATTCCTTTGTCTACCACAGCAACTGGCGGTGAACACAATGTACCAACCGCTGTCATAGTGCAAACGCATGGCCCCAAGAGTTTACCTTTATAGCGGAAGCCGGGCTACCAGGCAGCGTTTTGGCTTTATTTCGGGCAAGCTTAATTTGGAGCTTTTGGTGTATCTGTGGACGTGGATGTTGTCGCATCAGGGGATGCTGCGGTCTTTGCGCAAGACACGCACCATCTGTTGCGGCAGGGATCTGCTCTTTTGCAGCTACTTCTTTTTGGGGTTGATTTAAACAGACGCTAAGACACCATCACCACTTTGAGTTTCACCCTATTTGGACTTTGGGGCAGGTCAGGCATAGACGAGGAGGTGCCTCGGACGTTTTGCCCCGCATCTTGTTTTGCGTTTGGCAAGACGCGGATTGCCCCAGGCGCCCGTCTGTCTGTGGAAGCATGATTTCAGCATGTGGGTGTGAGAGAACCCTTTCTTGGACATCGTTTCGGGCATGTCTACCAACCACTTTTGAGGTGGTTGTCTTTTGACATGAATAGCCATGTGTCAAAATGTGGGGTTTTGGTCGTTTGGATGCATGTTTCGCTGTTTGTTTCAGTGGCGGGAAAGCTGAGTGAGGCGGAACAGCACATGGCCTAGCATCGCAGGTGGCGGCAAAACTTGCCGCGGCTTCAAGCTATGAGCCTTATGGAAAGGCTGGCGGCTACGTCAAAGCAGAGGGGATCGCGACACTTTTTCGAAGCTGGCCACTATAGTCATCCCATTGAACCACGGGAGTCCCAGGTTACTTCGAGTAGGGAAATACATGGCCCACTTTTTCGGTTCAGTCCATTTGCCAGTGCCATTTTCCTGTTTGCAAGATGACGGCCATGTATGGACCCCTGATGCATCTCTGGCGATCAAGGCGTGCTCCGAGTAACAAATTTTGGCCGGATGGGAGCCTTTGAGATTGCTTAGCGGCGAAGAAAGGTGCGGAGAAGCGAAGCTGCAAGGCTTTTTGTGGGTTCTAGACCACAGATCTCACTGAATCTCGGGTGTTCAGGGAGTCCACGATCATCATGCTACCTGTGTGTGTGTGTGTGTCTGTGTGTCTGTGAGTGTCTGTGTGTGTCTGTGTGTGTCTGTGTGTGTCTGTGTGTGTCTGTGTGTGTCTGTGTGTGTGTGTGTGTGTGTGTGTGTGAACCGTCCTGGAACACGGACGTTAAGCAGGGGGACCAGGCGTCTTGCTGCTGACCTGGTCTAACAAAGCTAGGCAGCAAGACGGGATACCGGAATTGGCCATTCCGGCGTACCTGCCATCCTTTCGTGACCTAATTTGCACTGCAGATTGATTTTTTCATTCCCTTTCAGTACAATCGCGTGTCTGCAAGAGCAGCCTCTCGAGATAAGTGTGTTTACCCACGGCCTGTCCGACATGGCGCTGTGGGCTGGACTCGCCACATGCGGGAGCCCCCTGCGAGGGGAAGACCGTTCATACGTTCAAATTCAACCTGCCGTTCAGCGCGTTTGACCACGATCAAGGCTGCAGCTTGAGGTCTTAAGGTATTCCGCACCCAAATGGTGCTCTGCTGGTTTCATGCGCGTTGCACTGCCTGCACTGCCTGCCTTTGAAGCAAGGCTGCACCCACGAGGTTTCAGGTTCCTAAGCTTCATGCGCCAGTGACGAGTTGGTCATACACCAACTCTGCAATTCGTGGTGTTTATGGAAGCTTTCGTCTCGGATGAGTTCAGTTCAGATTCATGAGTTCAGTTCAGATTCATCGGCATAGCCACATGAGGCACTTTCATGAGGCCACTTGACAGGCACCTCTGAGAACCCCTTTGTGCTCGCATGCATTTGCACCATTGACGCCTTGCGAAACCTTTTTCCGTTGCCGCGGGGTTTTTTGTCGGTCCCCCGGTGGAATTCCCTCGGTTTGGTTTTGTGCGCTCGGGTTTTTCGTCCTTGAAAATGTTTTGCTGTTGCCGGGGGTTTTTGGAGGTCCCCTGGTGGAATTCCCTCTGCTTGGTTTTGTGCGCCCGGTTTTTTGTCCTTGAAATTCTTTTGCTGTTGCCGCGGGGTTTTTGGCGGCCCCCTGGTGGAATTCCCTCTGTGTGGTTCGTGTCCGCCCCGCCGGGGCCTTGTGTGTGTGAACCGTCCTGGAACACGGACGTTAAGCAGGGGGACCAGGCGTCTTGCTGCTGACCTGGTCTAACAAAGCTAGGCAGCAAGACGGGATACCGGAATTGGCCATTCCGGCGTACCTGCCATCCTTTCGTGACCTAATTTGCACTGCAGATTGATTTTTTCATGCCCTTTCAGTACAATCGCGTGTCTGCAAGAGCAGCCTCTCTGTGCGAGTGTGTGTCTCTGTGTGTGTCTCTGTGTGTCTCTGTGTGTGTGTGTGTGTGTGTGTGTGTGTGTGTGTCTGTGTCTGTGTCTGTGTCTGTGTCTGTGTCTGTGTCTGTGTCTGTGTCTGTGTCTGTGTCTGTGTCTGTGTCTGTGTCTGTGTCTGTGTCTGTGTCTGTGTCTGTGTCTGTGTCTGTGTCTGTGTCTGTGTCTGTGTCTGTGTCTGTGTCTGTGTCTGTGTCTGTGTCTGTGTCTGTGTCTGTGTCTGTGTCTGTGTCTGTGTCTGTGTCTGTGTCTGTGTCTGTGTCTGTGTCTGTGTCTGTGTGTGTCTGTGTCTGTGTGTGTGTGTCTGTGTGTGTGTGTGTGTGTCTGTGTGTGTCTGTGTGTGTCTCTGTGTGTGTGTGTGTGTGTGTCTGTGTGTGTGTGTCTGTGTGTGTGTGTCTGTGTGTGTGTGTGTCTGTGTCTGTGTGTGTGTCTGTGTGTCTGTGTCTGTGTCTGTGTCTGTGTCTGTGTCTGTGTCTGTGTGTGTGTGTGTCTGTGTGTCTGTGTGTCTGTGTGTGTGTGTGTGTGTGTGTCTGTGTGTGTGTGTCTGTGCGTGCGTGTGTGTGTGTGTGCCTGCGTGTGCGCGTGCACGCGTGTGCGCGTTTGAGGGTACAAGTTTCAGGTTTGGTCTCAAGGGAAACCACCGGAACAAGTCCTTAGGGGTGCAGATTCCAATTTTGACACTTACCCAAGCTTCGTATGAGTCAACTGGCAAGTTGGAATGGAGCCAGCAACCTGCAGTTTGAACATTTTCGAGCATATTTGGGGCACACCCTAAGTTGGAATCCCATCGGTTTCTTTTTCAGATGCACACAAAGGATACCCGTTGCCGATTTATGGACACGGGATCTGCCCCCAGAGTATGGGTGTGTCTTTTGAAGGATTTGGACCCCTCCAAAATGGTGGGTTTTCCCATATTTTAACCCCAAACACCGGGTACCCTCAAAGAAAGACACCACCCATATGGTTGTGGATCAAAACCTAAGGTGCCTGCGGATGGTTACCACTCCACTGTTGCTTTTTAGAAGGCTTTCTGGGTGTTCACCGGGGCACCGGGGTTTTGACCCATAGCCATACGGTGGAACGATTCAATCTGCCGATCTGCCAAAAGCCGCGCAGGGCTCGGCGCGTGGTTTGGGTCTAGGGGTGGTCTCTTTCGTCGCCGCGCGATGGCGCTGATTACCTTGCGGTTCATCTCGGGGGAGAGTCTGGGGCAGCTCGGTGACGACGTGGGAGTCGCAGTGCCATTGCTCTGGTCAATTTGGGGGATGGAGTCGGATGCATTCCCAGGTATCACAGAGATCAGGTCCACAGAAAGAGGCGCAGGTGTGCCAGCAAGTCCCTTTTTTGGTCGTTGTTCCGCTTGGGTGCGGCGGATGCCGCCATTCGAAGCGGCAGTTTGTGCCGCAGGGTCGGGTGTTTTTGCAGTCGAGCTGGTTCTCCCACGCCTCCAAACTGCTGGGCCCCAAACCAAGGGAAGCTGAATTCTAGGTTGGGTTCAAAGGGAAACCAAGGAGAATGCCCTCCCGTTTGGGCGAAGTCTCAATGTTGACATACCCACGTAACCATGTGTTTGCCACTTTTTGGGTGGCAGGTGTCCGGAACCGTGTCGGAATGCGAATTCGGCGTCAGGCGGAAAAGCGCTGGCCATCGCTGGCCCTTTCGCGGCCACCCTGCAAAAACGGAAGAAACTGGTCTGCTTTTAGTTCCCTTGCCAATAAACAAATCATTTCAACAGGGTTCTTCTCCAATCTCAGGATACGGTCGTCCGAAGGTTGGTGCTTTTTTTTTCTTTTTCGGGTAGCTTCCTCCCCGCACGTGGAACCAGACTCCCTGAACGTGTTTTTTTTCTTTTTTCCTCGGAGCCGAAATGGGGCTTTGGGTTTTCCGTGTTTCGCATTTCCTCCACCCGAAAAGCTGGCGGAATGAGAAAGGGAATGACCCCGAGAAAAAAAACCATCCATCCGATCTGGGACTCCCCCAAAAATCAATTCCTGCCCACCCGGACTCGGGCTCGGTCATTCCCTGTCGCATCAAGCCAAGGGACTCACCGAGCCGATCTCAGGAAGTTCCGCCTGGAGGAGTCGGACACTGTGGAGGCCTTGCGCGCGCTGGGCGACGCCAAGCTGCCGCTCGGCCAGCGCATCCAGTCCCTGCTCCTTGACGCCCGGGGCTCGAATCACCCGAAGCGAGGGAAAGGGCCAAGCAAGAATGACGCAGCCTCTTTTCTGGGGGCCGAAAAAGAAACCTGCGACACTCGCAGGTGGGCTGAAAATGAGTCAGGTGGTTCAGCCCAGTGTTCGATTCGGCTTTCATTCCCAACTTCCGGACTCGCCCATGCTTCGGCTTCTGAAACCCATACGATCTCACCGCCTGGAAGCGGAGTTGCATCCTGCAAGGATTACTCGCCATGGGGAAGCCCTATAAATCAAGAGCAGCGCCGTTCTGTGGGTGCTCAAAAGTCCCCACTTGCACTTTCCAGCTTTGTTCACGGCCTAATTTTCGGCGCCCGCGAGAGAACGGCCGCACGTCTCGAGAGCCAGGAGGTTCCGGTGGAGAGCGGGCCTTTGGCCGCGCTGAACTTGCCGGAGGAGCCAGTCCTGGTGGCGGTGTTGGGGGAGCAGGAGCCTGAGACCTTCCTGGCCTTTCGGCTCGGACCCATTTTTATTTCCTCCGCCGAATCTCTCATGGCTCCTGCCGTCTTTTCTTGGTACCTTTTTTTTGGGTGTTGGTTTGAAGGGGGATTGAAGGAAAAACCACTCATTTTGGGGTAGCGGTAGAGTTGGCCAGTAGATGGCAGAATTGTCCCTTCGTTTGGCTTGGCCCTTGGCCACAGCGAATTGTGCCATTGTTACCCTGGTCTACCCTCCCGCTAGAACTCGCCCGAGAGACCCTTGAAACAGGAAACATGTTTTTCAAAGCATTCCCAAGCATGCAATATGGCCATGGATTCGCGCAAACCCTCCAAACAAATGGTGGGTTTTCATTGAGTCCCCTATGGACGTGAACCCAAAGTGTCACCCATTTCCAAAGGAAAAGCGGGAGCCTTTCCCACAAAACTGTCATTCCCCAACAAGGTCCGTTCCCGATTCTGTGGTTCTATTCGTTTTTGGTGGGTGGCAGCAAACAAAGGTTGTTGCTGTTGTAGAGAAGGCGGGGGCCATCCAAAAGTGGAGAAATCATGCGGGTAAAAAAATGGTGCCAGCTTGAATTCCGGGTTTCTCAAGAAGCTGATGATCCCATCTTAAAAGCTGATGTTCGACCAGGTCTCTGGTTTCAACGCCCAATTCACCCCTTACTTTTTTTTCTCAACCAGGCCTTTGTGGTTTCAGCTGCCAATTTTGGCTCACCCCGTTTGGGCCACCGTTTTTTGGCCCGGTGAGGTGCACGACAACGGCGGCCGACCCTTCAAGGTCAACGTCTTGCGCCGGGACGAGGCCTCTCCTGGCAAAGTCTCAGTGCACCAGCAGGACCTTGACAGCCAGGAGAAGACGGACGTCTCATGTGGGGGTTGGCCAAAGAACATGGTCGGGGCTTGGGAGCAACCAAGAAATTCTTAGGCTCAGGTCTTGGCCTGGTCCCTTGCCCAGCTTTAGATTCGAAGCCCCTTTTAAAAGCAAGAGACTAAGATCTGACCTGGGGATTCCTAGCCCGCCCACCCCTCAGACTTGGACCGTTTTTTTGGACCAGAAGTTTTCGAGGTCTGAGCTTGACATAAATCGTGGTGCCGAAACAGTGGGGAAACTTGACATTCAGATTACCGAGCTTACGCCAGGCGCGACGTTTCTTGGTTTCCAACAGTGCTTCTTGCATGGCGGGCCCGCTGTTCCGCCTTTTTTGGGTTTTTGCTGTGCTTCTGCCGCGCCTTGTCCGGCTCCAAGTTCAACTTGAGTCAATAGCTGCTGCGAATTATGCACTCACGCGCCACCACCGCCACCACCACCACCACCGCCACCGCCAACGCCCTCATACTTCCTTGCAAGCAATAGATCCAGTTCTCGCAACTGCGACTGCTTCCAACAATATATCAGTGTGCCCCGAGCTCTGCTCGAAGCATTGCGCTGTTAGCTGGCGACGAAGGAACAGTGAAAGAAAAACATTCTGCTCAGCTTCCATCAGGGCCCCTGTTCGAGCGGTGAGCCGCAACTGGGCCGCGGAAGGCTTCTTGGAGGGCATCGAGTACGACGCGAAGCGCCAGAGGTTGCGGAAGCGAGGGGGGGGGGCTCGTCTGCGGCCCGTCGCTGGCTCGCTTCCCTGCGCGCACGACGGCGATCCTCGAACTGACCTGTGGCACGAAGGAGAGCCCGGCCTCTGGGCCCTGGGGCTCTCCGGAGTGTCGCCACTGCGTCCACAGAGACCTGGCGGCTGCGCGCTCGGCTTAAGACTCGCGAAACCAGCCAACACATGGAAAATGCATATTTCGTTTATTTGTGAGAAGTAGAGCAAGGAACAGAGCAAGAAAATAGTGATCCCAAGTTTGGGCAGGGAAGGGGAACACAAATGCAATGAAGAAGCGTTTTTAGAGCAAACCGTGGGCGCTGAAAAAGCAAGAGTGAAGCAAACGAGAGACCAGAAATAGCAAGAAAAAACAATCAACTTGTGAAACAAAAAGACAACATTGCGATCCACATTCCAAAAAGCAAGAAAACCATGATCTCTCGTCGCGATTTTCTGATTTTCGGTTTCGAGGGGTTGTAGATTTCCCGTTCCAAAAAAGCAAGAAAATACTGATTTCCCCGTTGTGGATTGCAGATTTCCGGGTTTCGAGGGTTGTCGCCTGCCAAAAAAAGCAAGAACATAGTGATTTCCCGCTCCATAGTGATCTCCTGCTGCGAATTGCAGATTTCCAGGTTTCGAGGGTTCTCGTGTGCAAAAAAAAGCGAGAAGATAATGATTTCCAACTCCATGCAGATTTCTTGGTTTGCCTGCAAAAAGCAGGAAAATAGTGATCTCCCGTTGTGATTTGCAGATGTCCGGGTTGCATGGGCCTGCAAAACAAAGCAAGAAATAGTGATATTTCCAACAAAGAAACTAACGATCTCCCGCTCTGATTTGTAGGTGTTCGGGTTTCGAAGGCTGTCGCCTGCAAAAACAGGCAAGACAATAGTTGTTTCCCACAAAAAGGAAAATAGTGATCTCCCGTTGCGATTGCAGATTTCCGGGTTTCGAGGGTTGTCGCCTGAAAAAACAAAAGGTTATTTCTTCAACAAAAAAGCAAGAAAGTAGCGATCTCCCGTTACGATTTGCAGATTTATTGGTTTCGAGTGTTGTCGCCTGCCAAAAAAGGCAAAAGAGTGATTTCCAGTTCTAACAATGCAGGAAGGCGAGCACAAGCCTTCGCATGCCATGTATGACAACTACCATCCCTAGTAGTAGTAGTAGTAGTAGTAGTAGTAGTAGTAGTAGTAGTAGTAGTAGTAGTAGTAGTAGTAGTAGTAGTAGTAGTAGTAGTAGTGGTAGCAGTGGTAGTAGTAGTAGTAGTAGTGATAGTAGTAGTAGTAGTGGTAGTAGTAGTAGTAGTAATAATAGTAGCAGTCGCAGTAGCAGTAGTAGTAGTAGTAGTAGTAGTAGTAGTAGCACTCGTCGTAATAATTGTACTGGTAGTAGTAGTAGTAGTACTACTAGTAATACTCGTAGTAGTAGTGATAATAGTAGTAATTATACTAGTAGTAGTTCCACTAATAATGAGAATAATGCTTGTAGAAAATTCTGCGCTAGTTGTACTTGTAATACTCAGTAGTAGTAGTAGTAGTAGTAGTAGTAGTAGTAGTAGTAGTAGTAGTAGTAGTAGTAGTAGTAGTAGTAGTAGTAGTAGTAGTAGTAGTAGTAATAGTAGTGGTAGTAGTAGTGGTAGTACTAGTAGTAGTTTCAATAGTACTAGTAGTTCTAGTAGTAGTAGTAGTAGTAGCAGTAGTAGTAATAACATTAGTACTAGTACTAGTACCAGCATTAGTAGTACTAGTACCAGTTTTCGTAGTACTAGTTTTAGTAGTAGTAGCGAAGGGCTAATGCCGTTACGGGGGCGTTTGTTTCGAGTTCCTAGCAAGCTAGACTTGCGCTTCAAGGGGCTTCGGGTTATTTTTCGGGCTGTGGAAACATGGGCTAAACCACCTGCGGTCCATATCCAGGTGGTCTGATTTTGACAAATACCCATGGGATGACCATGGGATGCAAAACCACGAGGAAGATGAACACACAATCAAAGTTCATGGCCGGTTTCTCCTTGGTGAACAAAAGGAACAAGTGGTTTTCAGTTTTTACAGATGCCATGTCTAACCATTGATTCCCCATCTGGTTTTCTTCACCCACTATCCTCTATTGAAACCACCCATTTTGTCAAGCATTGACACATCACAATTTGTTGAACGCATGTTTTATGAAACCAACCTGCTTTGTCAAACGTGTTGTTAATATTAACACATGTTTAACAGATACATTTGTATTTCTTTACCTGGGCCTGATTTGTTTGTTGGGTCGCTGTCCACTGAAGTTTCGCTGCTCTGTCCGCGCCACTCTGAAGTCATGGTTGAAACCATTGTTGGTTGGTATTTAGAGGGGGGTCGAATTATTCCAGGGGTTCTGCGTGCGATCTCTGGATTCGCAACCATCCGCAGCATTGCACGCCCCAGGCCGAACAAGCCGTTGCAGCGCGTGGTAAACATGCCGACTTTCGGTTCTTTGCCCGCGCGTCGCGTCGCAAGCGGCCTCTTTTGGCACCATTGGACCTATCTCCTTGGGTGTGTTAAAGAGGCATAAAGGGAGAATGGGGGGAACTGCCCATTCTGAGACAAACTTGTTTTGACTGTTCTAGAGTGCAGTCAGATGAGGCTATGTGCTTTGTTCGAGGCTGGGTGCTTACACTCCCAATCAAAACTTTGGATTGGGGGGTCCCCAAAAAGAAACTCGTTTTCCAACTCCCCATCTTCCATAATTGTTGGCGGGCACGCACGGGTTTTCACAACTCTGTTGCAAAGCTCATGTTTGTTTGCCAGTATTCTCTGGCTATTAAGGAGCAGAGAAGCGATCGTGAACGATTTTCCAGGCAACTGGCAACAGGTTGCAGATGGAACACCGTGGCCATACCGGAGAAGGATCTCCTATGGCCATACTGGAGAAGGATCTCCCATAGACCAACATATCGCCAACGGATGCTATTCTAATCTCACTTCCTGAGTGGATTGGCCAAACAAGAGAGAACTCATTGTGTGCCGCGAAAACAGTCTCCCTCAAAAATTATTAAGTCCTATCCACATCAATGCTACTCTCCTACAGATTAGCATGGAACCCAAACAACCATCATTCTTATGGAAGAGACTCCTCTTGGGAGCCACATGTACAAGGCAAAAATTGGAATTGGCTCGCACCACCCAAAAAACGGGGGCTTGGCCCACTCAATGATTGGTGTGGTCTGGGTTTTCTTTACTTCCTGAGTTCGCTGCTTTATCATCTTGTCAAGATATGGTATCTTTCTCATTTTGTTCCTGTCTGAGCTTTCAACACTGCGCGCCACCTGGTTTTTTGTGGGGAGGGAGGAGCTTGCGTTGGAAATGGCCTCTTGGACGCAGGAGATGGCGTACAAGGACCCACCGGTGTTGGAAGAGATGGTGGAGAGGGTCTTTGTCGGCACCAGCCCCAGAGACGGCAAGGACCGGGCCTCCCCTTTGTGGGGCCGGTTGAAAGGGAAACGCCAGGGAAGCCGAACATTTTTTAGGGGTCTCCGTATTACGCAGTTTGCCTTGTGGAGACCTATCCGAAAAGGAAGCCCCACATTTTGGGGAGCTTCCCGACATGACTTCCGACTTTTTTGCTTTTTCTCGGCACCTCTGGAAACACCTGTGCCCTACCCAAAAAGCACCACGATCGCGCATGTCATGGAGCAAGCTCAGCAGAGTTCTTGGAAAGGGCGCGCCCGTCCCCAGTCCGGATGCCGGGAATGAACCGTTTTGGGGCCACAAAGGAAAGCCATAGGCGATGGGTTTCGGGGCGGTTCGTTCCATGTCTGAGCCATGAACATCAAGGTCGGGTTAGGGTGTAGAACAGCTCACCAGATTCTGCACCTTTGAGGACTTTTGAGTCGAGGAGTCTGGGTAGCTTCCCCATTCTTTCCGGGGAAAAAGATCCTTCTTTCCAGAAAACCACCAAACACCCGGGGGAAACAGATCCGGTTTTTGAAAAGAATGATGGTTGAAAAGGATGGAAAAGGAATCAACCAGGCCCTACAAGGAGAGTGGGAGAGTGGCGCAGGACTTTGACGGAAACACGCTTCTTCTGCAGAAGTCCGCGACCAAGTATATCTTTGTTGCTTGGTGGTTCCCAGCACGGTCCCAAGATGGGTTTTCCTTTTAACCAACCAAAAGGGGTACTCTCGAATAAAGACACACCCATCTGGCTGTGGGTCCAAACCAATGGTACAATTTTGAGAATGGCGCACCACCCATTTTAGCCCATTTTAGTGGTTGGATTGGGATGTTCACGGGTAGGGTTTTGACCCGTGGCCAAGTTGAGCTAAGGTTGGGCACTGCGTCTTCTCCTTCGAGGCCGAGGCGGAGATTTGCAGCTATTCCTCCCCCGTGGGCAATAGCGACGTGCCCTACCCTTTCGCAGTAGACAAGCACGGCAGGAGTTACCTGCTGCTTGAGCAGGTGGTTCTGAAAGACGTGCCAGAAGGAGAAAGCGATCCATACAGGTACTACTACAGCGACTCGGTTGGCTTTGGTTTTGGGTGGACCAATTTGCATGGGGGATTCTTGTGCCCACACAAAACCATTTTCAAGGGCAGTGGCCCTTGACTCGTAGCCGATGGTTTTCCGTCGAAGGGCCCCAAAGAAGCTTACCTCTGATTCCGAGGCCGCGAGTGGCTGTGAAAATACACATATGAATCATATGAATACATATATATATATATATATATATATACATAGATATACATATACACACACATGCATGCATTGCACTTTGTCTGTCCAGGCTGGTACCCTCGCTCTAGCTCAAGAGGTGTAATTTGGTTTGGGGCACGGAACCCCCAAGAAGGGCACGTAGTTATCTCCCTTGAAGGTCAGTAGGTGTGTCTCAACTCAAAATGTTAGCGGCCTCAACCAATTCACCTAACACACCTGAGCTCGGAGTTTTTGGGACCCCTCTCGAAAATTTGGTGGACGTAAACTTTTGGAAAGAATGAACGATGCACGGATTGATCTCGGGTTACTTCTCCATTCCCATCCTGCTTTCCAGGGCGGCCGAGGGACACGCCGGCCTTTAGCAAGCGAGAGACTTCCGGCCGGTTGAAAGTGATCATGGAGTCAACTCCTGGACAAATGGGAGAAATGCCGCTGGAACCTTCATGATCTTACATTGGTTGACAGACCGAGCGGAATCCTCTGGGATTTGCCAAAGAAACTTGAGTTGTTGAGGACGACTCTCCTCCCCTTAGGCCCACCTAGATTTGCCGCGTCAACCTCTTGATGTCCCTTGGTTTTCCTTGAGCGCACCCCCAAGACAAAGTTTCAAGCATCACCTGTTTTGCCATTTTCAGGTGAGTTTCCTGGGTGTGGATGTTTTAAGGGGAAATATAGGGGGCCTGCACTGTCAGAAGAAGACCCCCCTGTTTGGATGTGACACATGTTGAATAAGAATCGTTGGACTCAATATGTTGGTTCTTGGATCAGGGGATAAAGAATTGTTAAGAGAACGGTTGAAGCAAAATCGACCTGAGATGCTTGTGTCCTTTATTGAGGATGCGCCTTTTGGAGTGGCTTCACAGGGAAATCAAAAAAACTCCAGTGGCCATTCTGGTAACGCAAACTAAAAACATATTCGGGCTCTAGGTGACGATTTCCAGAAGAAGCTGCACTGGCAGCTGCTCTGGGCCGGCCGGCGCATGAGCTTCCCCGCGGAGGGGGCGGCCATGTACCAGCGCATGATGAAGTTGGTGGAGGAGGGCCAGGCCGAACGATCGAAACTTGCACGCGTGGAACCAGGGTGCTTTTTGGGGTTCCATGGGTTCCATGGGTTCCATGTGTGTGTGTGTGTTGTGTGTTGTGTGTTGTGTGTTGTGTGCTGTGTGTTGTGTGTTGTGTGTTGTGTGTTGTGTGTTGTGTGTTGTGTGTTGTGTGTTGTGTGTTGTGTGTTGTGTGTTGTGTGGTGTGTGGTGTGTGGTGTGTGGTGTGTGGTGTGTGGTGTGTGTGTGGTGTGTGTGTGCGTGGGTGGGTGGGTGGGTGGGTGTGTGTGTGTGTCTCTCTGTGTGTGTGTGTGTGTGTTTGCGTGTTTGTGTGTTTGTGCGTTTGTGCGTTTGTGCGTTTGTGCGTTTGTGCGTTTGCGCGTTTGCGCGTTTGTGCGTTTTCGCGTTTCTGCGTTTGTGCGTTTGTGCGTTTGTGCGTTTGCGCGTTTGCGCGTTTGTGCGTTTGCGGGTTTGCGCGTTTGCTCGTTTGCGCGTTTGCGCGTTTGCGTGTTTGCGTGCTTGTGCGCTTGTGTGTTTGTGTGTTTGTGTGTTTGTGTGTTTGTGTGTTTGTGTGTTTATGTGTTTTGTGTTTGTGTGTTGTGTGTTGTGTGTTCTGTGTGTGTGTCTGTGTGTGTCTGTGTGTCTTTGTGTGTTTGTGTGTGTTGTGTGTTTGTGTCTGTGTCTGTGTCTGTGTCTGTGTCTGTGTCTGTGTCTGTGTCTGTGTCTGTGTTTGTGTGTGTGTGTCTGTGTTTGTGTGTGTGTGTGCGTGTTTGCTTGTTTGTGTGTTTGTGAGTGTGTGTTTGTTTGTGTTTGTGTTTGTGTTTGTCCGTGTGTGTGTCTCTGTGTGTCTGTGTGTGTGGGTGGGTCTGTGTGTTACCGACAAAACCCTTCTTCAGGCTGGCTTAAAGGATAACCAACAGGAAAACCGCCGAGTGCTTGATGTAAACGAAACCCTATTCGGATGCATACGGGCGTTGGGCTAATTTGCAGGGGAGCAATGAGCTAACCTCGGGTGTTTCCATGAGCTCACCCATGAAGCGAGCGGTTCCCGGATGTCCTGTCTTGGCCAGATAGACCGAGTGCCCGACTTGAGTCGGGCTGAGATGGAGAACTTAAACCCTTAAACCGCAATAGGAACAACGGGAACAAGTCATTTGGGATGGCCACATCCCGCTAAAAACAGGGTGCACAGCCCATTTTCCCGTCTCCCCTCAACTTAAGGTAGGGGCCAGGCTTGCAGACAAGGGACAAGAGGCCGAACCCCCTGACTATTGCAAAAAAAATACAGGCTTTTCCCTGTTCCCTAGTTGCATTGTTTGGGTTTGCATGTTTGATTCGGTTTCAGTGCCCTTGTCGGCCTTGTCGTGCTTGTCTGAACAGGGCAAAGATAAATCCACTGGTATCCTTCGGGGTTGAAACATTTGGTGAGTCAATAGCGATATTTTTGGTAGTCTACTGCCAGCAAAGCCCTTCCAGCAGTAGTGCCGGTTCGACTGACTGCCTGGATCAGCGGGGAATGGGACTCAGGTCATCTCGCAAGGTCAGGCAGATAATGGAGTGAACATGGTGGTTTGCACCCATTGCAATTCCTCGGCCGTGAGAACGCCCCAGCTAACATGTGCTATGTAGTGGTGGTTGTCACGCAAAGTGGCTGTCTGTTTACACCCGTGCTGCCACAGAGCAGGTTGTGGGGAGGAGTACGCCATGGTGCGTATTTGGCAACTTGTGGCGCGAAGCGTGCAGTGCTTCAGACCTTCAGCATGGTGGTGTTCTGGTGTTTGGTGATCGGTGCTTGCACCATTGACGCAATGTACAGCGGCCGCAGTGGCAAGTGGCTACGGAACCACGTGCTCAGCTCCAGGTTTGATGTGCTTTGGATGTGTGCGCAGCCAGTGTTGTTCTGGGCTTTCTCCCGGGTGTAGTGTGTGTGTGTGTGTGTGTGTTCCAGCCAGTTCTCCGGCAGGGGCGCTTTTGTCCTTTTTGGAAAGTATCCTCAAAGGTTGTGTTGGGTTGTTGACGCCGGTGCTCAGTTACCCAGCGATCGCAGATGATTTTGCCAATTCCGACAATCATGCGCAGAGCAGGCGCTGCAAAGCATGCCGCTGGTATGTTTGTGGCCTTCAGACGGTCGGCGTAGTCGTGCAGAACATCCTGCCCGCGTCGCGCAGTGCAGATGGCCGGGCGATACCGGGGCAATGCCGACCAAAAACCGGTAGTCGCCAACCCCAGTGCTGCGGTTGCACCAAAACATCACAATTTGAATATCACTGGTGATCTACAGTTGGGTGAAAGCAGATGGCGCAATCGCTCTAATTGGGTTTAGTCATCCCCTCACGGGTTTTTATGGTGCACATTAAAGGCAACTGGTTCCCAGGACGACGGGGAAGGGCCACGTGTCTTGTTGCGCCCGCGCAGGCGGAGGGTGAGTTCTCGGTGCGCAAGGGGCCGGCTGAAGGGGGCAGCGTAGAGACGCTGGACAGCGAGGCGGCCTTTGTGGAGGTTGTTGAGACGATGAGCCGGGCCTATGGAGTAGGAGGGGGGCGAAATTGGAGCTCACGGTTTGAACCAGGAGGTTGGATTTCGACCCCTGGAATTCAAATTGTCCATGGTTTTCCTCCTTGTTAGAAGGTTAGCAAAACTATAAGGCAGGCTCAAAAACCGGGATCGCCTCTGCTTCCATAAAGGGAAACGCGCGCCCACACACGCCCCATTCCAAAGCTTGGGTGAACCGATTGAGCGGGTCCTTGAAGGGCTATTAAAAGGTTTCTTGACGGTGCTGGAGGACCGTCTGCGTGGGGGTTTTGTGCTGCAAATCAACAGCTGAAACGGTGCTATGGGCACCTTTGATGGCTGGTTGTTTTCGAAGGGCGATTTTGATAAGAATGAGATATCAAGCCGCTGAACAGTTCTAACAACTGGGTTTGACACGTGGGAGGGGGCCAACCCTGCATAGGACACCTGAGGGGTCGCGAGGAACTCGTCTCCAGATTGTGGTGACGTCCCATCAGCCCACTGCTGCGTGCGGCCATGGAGGTATGGGGCTGCAGCTCTGATGAGGATGCCATTTGAATTCTCCCCCTACCGCCATTGTGCCATTGGAAGGCAACGGCTTCAGTTTATGGTTTGCAATTCCCCGGTCTATGCAGCTTCACTTTCTGGCAATGGTGAATGGCCAAAGAAGCTCATTTGTGGGTTTATGCGCGAACACTGCCTTTGGTGCATTGGTCTGGATTGCAGTCCCGATCTTTTCAAGGATTGCCTCTTTTTCTTATGAAAACTGAAGGCAAGAAGGCGATGATCCGGAGCTGGACGAGCGAACGTTGACGGGGAAAAACACAGAGAGGAGCACCGTTCAGCCGGGGCACAGTTGTTTTTCATATTTGTATATACAACCTTATGGTTGAGGAGTTTAGAGACGCCCCTTTCGAGTGATAAAGTAGTCATCGTGGCGTTGGTGTCGCAAGAAGTCCAGTTCAAGGCTCATGTAAGACCATGTCAAAGCAGGTTTGGGTTGCCTTTGAGCCGCGTGGCACTTGGCTTGGGTTCATGTTCTAGGACACTCCATGGCTTGTCGATTTCGTGGAGTTGGTGGGCAGTTTCAAGGTTTTGTCACGCAAAGCGCAGAGATGTCTCTGCTCATTGAGCTGCTTGCCGTGCCGTGCAAATTCAGCGTCGTTCAACCGCACCTTGGGTTCTTCGCGCTCATGAAGCCGAAAGAGGCGGACCGACTTTTTGGCAGCGAGTAACCAGCCGAAATCAAAATCCACGATCCAGTCAGTCAATCCATTCGCGCGGCTTTGCGGTTGGCCATTCTTGCGCCATGGCGCTTGTCACCCTGCGGTTCCTCTCGGGGGAGAGTCTGGGGCGCCTTGGCCCACCATGTCGCCCATCATTAACCCCTAGAATAAAGGCTTGTCCATAAGATAATAATTAATTTCAACCAGATATACAAATAGAATGATAAAATAGTAAAAGAGAAATAAATAAAAGAAATATATAAAAATGAACTCCAGAAGCTCTAATATTGGATCGCTTCTTACTAATCATTTCCTGTTTGTCTTTTCCTCTTCTTTCGGTCTTCTATTGCTATCTCTTCATTCACTGTAAACTCAACCAACAATAAAAACTAAGATAACAAACACAAAAAGACAAGAAACATGAAAGAAGAAACCAAATAAGAAGACAAATATCCTTTCCTTCCCATTCATTCACTTGTCACCCAACCTCTGTTTCCAAGTTCATTCATTCCCTTCTATTCCTTCTCCTTGACTCGTCCTCAGGTCTAACTGGTGGGCGAGAGGAAAGGAGGAAGGATGATGGACAAGTGATAGGAATAGCCTGTGAACGAAGAATCCTAAAGAAGACTGCCAATGGATAATTCTTCTCTCCAATGCATTCCAGAGAAGCAAATGAATGCCATTGGAGGTAAAAGGAAAGGCAAAGGGGAAGGGTTAACAAATGATTGCCTACATCCTAATCCTTCCTACACTCACACACCCTTCCCTCTCTCTCTTCATCACTCACCCATTTCCCCGCTGCCTTCGCTCGCGGTAACTTGTCAATGGGTGAGCACACATGATGAAGAGCGAGCCCATTCCTTCTTTTGTCTTTGTCACGTGTCATCTCTAATTCCCGTGAACAAAGTGAGCGAAGGAAAAGATATGATGGGAATG